TCGCTTCAATAGGCGACTCAGCAGCGGAGGCTCCGGCTGCCTACCTGCCTGCCTGCCAGTTTGGCAATCCGGGGCAGCTCCAACCCCTGCGGCTCCTTAGGAATATTTTGCAGCAGAGATTAAGATTATATATTTTTTTTTTTACTGGTTTAGATATGGCAAATACGTAATAAATAGCTACATTGGTGGATACTGGCTGTAAATGTCTAGTGGGTGTCTTGCCTGCCTTGCAGCCTTCATGGAAAGAAGCAGCAATGGCTCTTTAAAGGTATTCAGTGGTTTTTGGAGAGCATAGATTAATTACTGCCTAATGGGTGTTATGTAGCCCGTACCAGGGTACAGCCCAGGAGCCCTCGCTGTGTACCGCAGCCCTGGGGTGCCCGGCCAAATCAGACAGCCGTCCTGCACCAAAGTAGGCACAGTTGGGGGTCATTTCCAGAATCAGCAAGGTGTGTCGCAATTGCAAACTGGCCAGGTTTCCTCTGCCCGGACAGTGCTGGGGCTTCTGGACCTGCTGCTCTCCAGGCTCTACGAGCATCACCCAGAGGTTTGCAGGCAAACGCCTGTAGGCAGTTGACCCCTTTCTGGGCACGGCAACCTGGACATCTGGGCCTGTGCTTTATGACACTTGGCATTGTCACGCTCCATCTCCGGCAATCTGGCAGCCTGGAGATAACTTCCCACACGTGAGACTAGCTGCCAATGCTGGGGGGGTGTAAAAACAGCCCAGTTATGCGGGTCATAGAGGATGGGGGAGAGCGCTCTGGAGGCGCAGGGAACCAGCCTGAGCCTTGGGGCTGCGCCAGGGCTCTGGGAGCAATTGCAGCTCCCCCATGTGTTGCTCCCATCTCCGCTGGTGAGGTTGCCCCAGGTGTGGAGGGAAACAGGGGAAGGTCTGGAAGAGCTGGTTCAAGTAGGGAAACTGAGGCACAAGTTGCCAAAGGGTGCTGGGAGGACACAGGGCCAAACTGGTACCCAACCCCATGAGCAGAGAGAAAGGAGCAATTTTCTGGGGACTGGGAGGTGACAATGAATCCATGGGTGTCATGATGCCCTGCTCCTGGGGGGGTGTGGGAGGGTGATGGCAGAGGGGTGAGGCTGGGAATCGCTATGCCCTGCCCTGCCTCCTCCCTGCCTTCTCCCCCATAGGCAGCAGCCCCCAAAACCATCCTCCCTCCCCAGCCCGGGGCTTCCCAAGTGCTGCCGGAGATCCCGCACTGGCCTGGGGGACACCCACAGGGAAAGGTTCTTGCTTGGCCTCTGCTTCGGGGCTGCAAAGTCAGGGCAGCGGCCTGCTCTGCTGCAAATTTGGAGAAAACTGAGCTGTGAAGAGGCAGCCCCGTGCTGCAGTTCCATCCTGCCCTCTGCTCTGCTGCCTCCCCTCTCCTGCTCCACGCAGGCGAGCCCTCGCTGCCCAGGAAGCATATTTTGGAGCTCCTTTCACTGGAAAGGGATGCCTTTGGGGTTTAGAAAAGGAAAGGAGCAGCTTGGCCAAGCAGAAGGGGTTCTCTCCTGTGGATCGCTGTCCAGAAAGCCCCATCTAGTGGCATATTCTGTGATGAATTAATGCTGCGCCGTGTGGAATAAAAAATGACAAGTCACTTCACCCCTCTGGGTCCTGCATGTATGCGGCACCTCCAGAGGCATTTTTTTTTAATTTATCTGGGGTTTGGCTTGCTAAAGTGAGCAAGGCTTGAGGGGCAGGATTGGTGCCAGCCTCCTCTTAGGGGTGCCCTGACCTTGTGTGACCTTGAGATCATCCCCCCCAGCTCTTGTCCCCAGCCTCCCTGCCTGCGAAGGAGGAGGATGCTGGGCTGCCCCATGGGATGCTGTGTGGCTGGACCCTCTGGCATCAGCAGAGCCCTGGCAGAAGGTGCCATTGGGGCAGGATTGTGGGTGCTGCCGGTTTGGGAATACACAATCCAGGGGGTCTCATCTCGGAGCTGATGCAAACGTTCCAGAGGGGAGAGAGCAGGTGGATGGAGTCGGTCACAGGACTCTGCAGGCACAGGAGCACCTTCCCTGTTTTAGAAGGAGGGGGTGGAAATTGGGCTGTAGAGTCAGCTCCATTGATTTTTTTATTTTTTTTCTCCCAGTGGCCTGATTCAGCGTCTGCCAATGTAAAGCTTAGCTAGGACTTGGTTTGGCGTCTGCAAGGTGAGAAATAAATTTCATTGATCCAGGGTGCCCTTCTGCATCCCACTTCGGTTGAACTGGTCCTGAAACTAGACAGGCAAGGAACTCGTCAAATTCTGGGGTGGGGGGAAGCCACTGAAAGAAACCCCCAGCCTGGATCTGCTGGGATACGATGTAGAGAGGTGGGATCCAATCCAAGGAAAGTTCTGAGAGTGCTGGAAGCCCACCGGTGCTTTCTCAGAAAATTTTAGACATGCTGTTTTGTAGATTAATTGGGGACACATCCTAGGGCGCCCCTGGGCAGAAAGTAACTCCCCAGGCTTGTTGGGGCAGGAACAGCAGCGGGCTGGGAGCAGTAAGGCTGGCAGGGCTGCACTCAGCGCTGCTCGTACCGCGGCACCTCCGAGACCGAGCGCTGATGCTGTTTTGTCTCTTCTGTCCCCTTTCCTTCCCCACTCACTACCGCTTACTTGTGTCCTGCCCGGGACACTGTGGAAATGTGCCTGGAGAACCTGTTCCCAGACCCTTCCCTGCTGTCTGGCTTTCTGGCAATTTGAACCCGATTCTCAGCCCTAAACTTCAGGGTGTATCTGGGACTTGTTTCCCTCGTTCCCTCACTCTCCTTGGACAGAGCAGATCTGCTGCACATTGTCCTGCTCCACAGCTGAAGATGTCCTCATGCCCCTCCAACACCGTCAGTCCCTGCCAGTTGTATGTAGCACCAGCTTGAAGGTCTAGACGCTGCCAGGGGTTTGGGCACACTTTATTAAAGAGAAGCAGTCGTGTGCTCCGCAGCAGCAACAACTGCACTGAGGTGACCTTGAGCCAGGCTGCCACGCCGCGTTTCTGGGGAAAAGAGCCTCGCTCTGCCCCTTCGCAGGGCTCCAGCTGCACAGGCGAGTGGGAACAACTGAGACCGCCGTTAAATAACCGTATTTGTGCATGTTAAAGGTCTGTGCCCCAGCTTCATACGCATGGACTCCAGGCCAATGCCCGCCGAGAAGCAGGGTAATTGTTAAAGAGTCTAAAAAGGAGAAATACTGCCTCTAGCAACACCACCTTCAAATGATATTCAAGAGGGCACAAAACCAAAACATCAACAGAAATGTGAGCAGACACCCTCTGCTGAAGCAGAAACAGCCTTTGAAAAACAGCAGGAAAGATGATTAGTACTAAATATTTATGTTTAAAAGCAAAGTACCTATTATACCAAATTTACCATAGGAAAAAAGGAAAGTGATGAAAACTAAAACTTGGAGGAGAGGGGGGTTCTGCAGTATAGCGCTGGAAGAGGAAGGTGGAGGGACAGTTAAGTGCTAACCCAAGAAAATCTAGAGATCAGTTAAATCTAATCTGAGAGTGCGAGCCAGTATCGCATGCTAAATAATTGCATGACATTTAGGAGCAAAATAAGTTTTAGTTGTATTCTTATGTTAACTTATTTGGATTTATTTGAACTTTAAATCTGAAATTCCTGGATCAGTAGTGTAAATTTTAGGGATGATTAGAATAAAATCTACAGACGGCGATTATCATCTAGAACGTCTGAGAATTCTCTAGCACAGAACACAAGGCTAACTGTCTACATCTGCTATAATCTATTTTTATACAACTGCTTGTGACTCCTTGGCTTGCTGACCACTAATTTTTAAGCATGTAAGTAAAAATCGTATTATTTTACCCAGACACGGTTGTTTATCATGTGTGTGCAGCTGACACTGAAAGCAGACTTTTGTTGTCCTTTTTTTTTTTTTTTTTTTTAAAAAAAAAAAAAGGTCTTCAGGGGAGATGAGTGTAAATCAAATTATTCAGTCTTTAATTTGCTGGGTTTTGACAAACATTTATTAATGCAAGTCTCAGCAACAAAATTTTTTATTTCAATATTTTCAACCAGAAGGAATGTTATAGCTCTACACCACAAGCCTGTATGATACACACTTCTTGTTTACCGTATTTCCATGCTGTTTTGTGTATCAAACATACTCAGAAACAATCTGTATAGATGGCTCCACAATCTCCACTTTTGAGACAGCACAGCCCAAAAAAACCTAATAGCCTGCTTCACTCCCCCCTAACTTATTCCATCTGTAAAGCACAAGTAACAAAATATATTTTTGCTTCTAAAAGCTTCACTTATCTGCAGAAAAATAGAACTGCTTAAGAGTGAGCTAGTTAGATTATGAAAGGGTCCAAGCACACACCCGCACGTTCTGCACCCCCCAATAAATTTGTGAGGAGGAAGCATTCACAATTTGATCCAACTAAAAAGGAGCCAGACAGCGTTCAGGGAAAGGAGATCCATCCTCTCCAAAATACTGAATGCCTTCTCATTCTTCTCTCTAGAGCCGGATGAGGAGGATAGAGCTGCAGCTATGAAACATTTCTCTAAGTACTGGGACACATGAAGAATGAACCTTCCAAACACTGCAAAATTTCAGAATAAAGCCTAAAAAGGTTTGGGTTTTTTTTCCAAAACACAGTGAAAACAGCAGAGCTTGAATATCCACAGCACAAACCAAAAAACAAAGGGAGTTCATTCAATCTACAGTGCTTTTGTTAAGGTATTCAGAGACTTTAGTGCATTCTTTTTAGAACTAAGCTCAGAAACTATATTCCATTTTTCATTTTATTAGAAAACTAAACTGTATGAGGCAAAGAAACATTTGATCAAACACACAACAGTGAAAACGTGGCACTGACAAGGCTTTTAACCCAACCATTATCACAAACCCTGACTCAGGAGTCTCTATTGCTTTCAGTCAAGTATACATCATTTCTGCCATGTGAGACATTTTCTTGGGAATATATAAGTAGTATTCCATGTATCCCGAAAGATCTTCAATAGTCACGTCATCCACAAAGGCTCGAGCTTGCTCAGAACAAGATCTGGGAGAACCTGATGAGGCTGTCCCGCAAGGGGATCTATTCTGAAGAGACTGGGCATGGACTCCTAGGACTGCCTTTTCGCATTCTGACAGGACGCTCCGTAAGCCTGAGAAAGAGTACACTTCCATGGTTCGCCACTCTTTGCACTGGCATTTCTTGTCCGTACAAGGGCACTGCTTGCTGTTGCTGAGCATGGATAAGGACTGGAAATCTGAGGTTTGGCTAGAATGCAAGCTACTCTCAAAGGATGAGGAGAGAGCAGGGTAATTCTCTCTTGACTTCTCCAAAGGCTCTTCAGCGGTGAAGGTTTCCAAAGGTTCAGTTCTGTCATCACTGGCTTCAAAGTGAGAATCATGCCTGTCCTTCGTACCGTGTTCTGCTGTAACAAAAATGTCTGAACTGATATTACCCTTTGACGTGTCTGCCTGGGTTTTGTGTTTCAGCTGGTTGTTGGCTTTCATATTGCAATATGTAAACTTGGGAGGATGCAGGACGGGAGACTTGGAGCGTCTGCGACGTGGGACTCTTGCTGATCCTCTGGAAGGTTTTCTCACACACCTGCAGGGTTACAACTGGTGAGCAAGCAGGTAACTCCAGAATCAACACCATAGGTCAATAAGCTCTACAATGTGGCTAAAAACGTTTTAGAGGACTTTTAAAATTTTTTTTCTGCTCAGAAAAATCAGGTGACCGGTCACTTGTAATCCCTGACAGAACAGTGGAGGAGTCTGAAGAAATTGGGGCTCCCCCAAAGGAAAGACACGTACAAACATCCCTTAGTTAAAGGCACTTCCTCCCAAATCTTCTGTGCTAAACAAAGGATACTTTGTCATCCCAAATTGAACTGTAGTGCAGAACCTGGCTATCAGTTGGAGCTGCTGGCAAAATCACACTGAATAGCCAGGTACTTCAATACAGAAATAAAATAACCCAGGAAAAAGGTGAGAGGGGGTTGCAAAGGTGTAAGACTTGAAGAAAAGGACTTCTGAGGAAATCAGCGGAAAACAAAGTTTTTGGTACCCTCTCTAAGAGAAGAGGCAATATTGTTTTTAAAGTCTTTGATGAAAGCCCCTTAAAACCATCGTATCAAACAGTTATAGTGAAGTTTTGTAATAGAAAGGAGAGAAAAGATATGTTGAAGCAACTAATTAACAACAACTTTCACTGGAAACAGTATGCAAGTGTTAAATGTCTCAAATCAGAAACACATGCACGGTGCAGCAAGCGGTATGTTTTACCCATGCCACGCTTCCTTTGAGCAGACGGGCTGTTGCTTCGCTCCATCCATGGCTGCTCTTGTCGGTGTTCTGAGAATCGTCCCGTCACCCACAGACAGAGCTGCAATACATCTGAGTAAAAAACAAAATGCCACGTTACAGTAGTGCCCGAACATATCGCTTCCAAGGTCTAGATTCAGCCTATTTGCTTTAGATGCTGAACTAAGACATTTAAGTTTCCTCTATAGTCAGTGGTTAGAAACAGGACATTGCAGAGATTTATCTAACTGCTCTTACTATATTGACCTCAGTCAAGTGTCTAAAGATAGGTGAGATGAAATGAAAGTAGGCCCAAATGCCCAGAGGCTGATGTCATGCCCTATTTGTACCAAAATGACACATTAAAGGAATGTAAACTCAGGTTCCAAATGTTCTTGTCAGACAATAGTTGTTAAAGATAGACTCCTACTCATCTAAAATGAAAAGTCAGGAACCCATAGCAGCAGGCTGAGGAAAAGTCAGAGGAGAAGTGGATGAGGTACAACAGGCAAGGACAGATTACTAATTTATTTCTCATTAAATTTCCCAGATAAACATGGAATGAAAAAAGATCTGGCCCTGGAGGTCCAGACAACAAACATAAATGCCTCAGCACGCAAATCTGTATCTATGATGGCCGCATGTGTGATTTGGAACACAGGACAGGAAATCATAAGAAATGAGACTGAAATTCTAGCAGAAGAGCCCAAGTACTCTGCCCAAAGTTGATCTTAAGGGATTAGTCATAAGACTTCAGCTGTTCAAAACACATGCCTGCAAAACAAGATCTTTTTACGCCTAAGAAGATATCATCAGGAATCAACCAGAATTCTGCATAGTCTGTCAGTGGTAATACATCAAAAGTGGTATGCTTAATAAGCGTAGTTCCTTGTTAGAGAACAACTGTTTTTTTTCCCCCACATTTAACAGAAGACCTCCTGAAGTAGAGGAAACAAGTAGCAAAGCAAAATATATTTTAACATGCAGAGGAAGTCATGAGTTCAGTATTGATGGCTATAGAGATGAACTCACAAGGTAACATTAATTATCAATACAAAGCTTTCTCTTGTGTCTGTGAATTCCCAAAAGACTTCAAGTGAACTACCTCACAAAGAGACTACATAATTTTACTAACTCCTAATTTAAGGAAGATGACTTACATATTATCAGTATACCCAGTGTGTTATGGAGTAAGTTTTTAATATAAGAATATCTGCAGACGTTTTACTCTACAAAATCCCCTGAAATCAGAAACGAGCAGTGCTCATACGTAGCCTGACAACTTCCAGAGAGAGTGGGCTCTCCAGCACACTATGAAGTGTTGATGCTGTCCTTCAGATGCTTCCCAAGCAGATCTTCAGGCACTACAGTACAGGCTGATAATGTGGCTGAAGACACCAGCATTTACATGAATGGACAAACAAGTTCTGTATGACACAAGGCTAGTATGGCTACGATAACAGTTGACTGGGTTCACTGCTTTGGGCGAGTCGTTTCATGTTTTCATAAGGTCACTATGTAATTTCAGTTGGATATTGTGTCAAAATTAGTTAGTAATAAAGTACTACTTTGCCTGTTAGACAGTTATAATGGCTGCATTTCATGTGAAGCGATGCAGTTGTCCCGTCTTGGAGAGAAAGGAAGCTTTCACCAACTTGTGACGTTTGTTTTGAGATTCAAAACAGGAGAAAACAAATATCTAACAAGAAACTGACAAATTACACGGTCCTTTTGGTTGCTCACTTACCCTGCTCCATCCACTCTCAGCTTTTTGAAAGCTGTTTGCAGACTCTCTTCCTCCTCATCTTTAGCCTCCAAGTCCATTGATGGGCTCTCAGTGTGGAACCCGCTGTGCCATACAGAACAAACTGAAACACAGAAATCGGAATTCGACGCCGAGGTCTGGACGCACATGCTCTCCAGCAGGCCCCGAAGCCCCCGCCAGCGCAACGCTGGATCTCCCGGGGCGGCCGTTTCCCTGTCACCAGCCCGCCTTCCCCCCCAACCCCCCC